ATTTAGTTGGGTTAACATCTGGAGAAGTGAACGACTCTTTAACAAAATTTGTGTCAACTGAACATTTTTTTTGCCTGCAGAACTGGAATGCCTGTATTTGAGTGAAAAAAAAAACATAATCCTTATTTCCATTGTTTTTTCTTGAGTACTCAACTTTTGTAAACATCAGTTGAACTGATTTAAAATGTCTGAAGTTGAGTGAAAAAAAAAAATCATAATCCTTATTTTCTTTCGTTTCTTTCTTGAGTACTCAACTTTTGAAAACATCAGTTGCACTGACCTAAAATGTTTGAAGTTGAGAGAGCAAAAAACTCTTGAAAATAGGTACTAAGAAATAATACATTATCAGAATGTATTAGAAACTGGTTCCTCCATTTGAATTATAGTTTGAGCATTTGATTTTTCATGTAGGTATTACAGAATTATGCTGAGTTGTTCATTCATTCATGCATTCATTCATTCATTCATTTATTTTCTTTTCGGCTTAGTGCCTTTATTAATCTGAGGTTGCCACAGCGGAAATAACCGCTAATATATACAGCACATGTTTTACGCAGCGGATGCCCTTCCAGCTGCAACCCAACACTGGGAAACATCCATACACACTCATTCACACACATACACTACAGACAATTTAGCTTACTCAATTCACCTGTACCGCACTTGTGAGGGAAAACGGGGCACTCAGAGGAAACCCACGCAAACATTGGGAAAATATGCAAACTCCACACAAAAACGCCAGAGGCTTGAGCCAGCAACCTACTTGCTGTTAGGTGATCGGGCTACCCACTGTGCCACTGTGCAGCCCTGAGTTGTTCATGAAAATTAAACATTAAATACATTTGATTTCTCATTTGAGAATGCATTTTGATATATTATTTGATTGTTTGAGCATTTGATTTCTCATATGGGTAGTTGTTTTGAAAGTTCAATTTATCATTTGTTTTTAGGCATTTCATGTATATATATATATATATATATATATATATATATATATATATATATATATATATATATATAGAGTGTGTGTGTGTGTGTGTTATATATATATATATATATATATATATATATATATATATATATATATATATACATACATACAGTATGTGTGTGTTTGTGTAATATTAATATATAATATGTATACAAAATATAAAATAATCAGTTTTAACTTGTCTTGGCCTTCAATAAAACCAAAATTTAGGTAGGCTTTGACATACTGTCTAATCTTTTTCTTCACCTCTAAAGAATCATTGCATTTACGTTTCTCTGCCATTTTTGTTTTGATTTTGCCTTTACGAGAAGTTGGACAACCACATTGCGCAAGTGAGCAAAATTTAAATAATTATTTCAAGTTATTTATTTTAATTATTTTTACTATTATGTTGGAATTTTAAGCATGTGTTTTGATTTTTTTTTTTTTTGGTACTTAAAAATACATATATAATAGTAGGGCTGCTCGATATTGGGAAAAATCATAATCACAATTATTTTGGTCATAATTGTAATCACGATTATTCAAAACGAGTATCAGAAAAAATACAATAAAATTATTAGCGCTCCTGAGATTTTTTTTTTTATAAATATTTCCCAAATTATGTTTAACAGAACAAGGAATTTTAACAGTATTTCCTCTAATATTTTTCTTCTAGGCTTATTTGTTTTATTTTAGCTAGAATAAAAGCAAGTTTAAATATTTTGAAAGCTATTTTAAGGTCAATATTATTAGCCCCCTTAAGCAATAAATATTTTTGATGACTTGCCTAATTACCCTAATTAAGCCTTTGAACTGCACTTTAATCTGAATGGTTGTATTTTGAAAAATATCTAGTAAAATATTATGTGCTGTCATCACAGCAAAGATAAAATAAATCAGTAATTAGAAATGATATATCAAAACTTTTATGTTCAGAAAAAAAAAAAACTTCTTTCTATGAAACAGAAATTGGGCAGGAAAAGTTAATATTCAGCTAATATTTAGGAGGGCTAATAATTCTGACTTCAAGTGTATACATACAGTTATTTTCCAGCCTGCAAAGGAAAGAGAAATAAATACAATTAAATAAAAATATTAAACAAACTGCTTTAAGCATCTTCACTGTAAGAAAAACACTTTAGCTACAAAAATCCTTCAGAGAAACATTTTCTCGTTATGTTTGATTAATGATAAAACAGGCGGCAGCAGGAATATTTCGCGCTGTCTCTTTAATGGTTTCTCTTTCACGTCTTTTGATTCTCAACTCGTTTGTTTATTACACAAATGGAGGCTAATATAAATAATCACGAAACACCGCGTTTTGACACCTATTTGACCATTAAAGCGCTCACGTTAATGACTTTAGATGTCTGCGCTCCTCTGCTCGTCTCAGTGTGCGAATGAGAGCGAATGCTGACTGGCCGCATGCTTCTGGCTGCGTGTGCGTGCTGCACACACACATTCGCGCTTTTAAGAGCAACGCGTGCACAGCTGGAAAGGTGGCGGTATATGATGCATGTAATCGTTTATCTTGATTAATGCTTTTTTATAATCGTTTGAAATCGAAATCGGATTTTCGATTAATAGTACAGCCCTATATAATAGTGGATCATTTTTATGCCTTTTTCTACCTCAATACTTATCCTCTCCCGCGCCCCCCTTGTGAACTCTGGCGCCCCCCTTAGGGGGGCGCGGACCCCAGGTTGGGAACCACTGCTTTAAGGGATAGTTCATCCCAAAAAAACATTCTGTATCCACTCGTCACTTATTCTGAACTAAGTTTCTTTCTTCTGTTGAACACAAGAGAAGATATTTTGAAGAAAGCTGAAAACCTGTAACCATTGACTTCCATAGTAGAAAAAACAACAACTAAAGATCTTTCTTCAAACATTCTTCATTTATCCTGTGTTCAACAGGAGAAATAACTCCTAAAGGTTTGAAACCCCTCGAGGTTGAGTAAATAATAAGTAAATTATTTTCATTTTTGTGTGAACTGTCCCTTTAAATCAATGTTTCTCAACCACATTCCTGGAGGACCATCAACACTGCATGTTTTGGATATCTGCTTTGTCACACCCACTACAGGGCTTTCAGTCTCTGCTAATGATCTGATGATCAGAATCAGGTCGGTTTGGTTAAGGAGACCTGGAAAATATGCAGAGCTGGTAGTCCTCCAGGAACTTGGTTGAGAAACACTGCTTTAAATGACCAAATGCCACCTGCACTGTTGAGATGTATATAATGAGAACATAAGTGTAAAAGGCAGACATACTTCTCCTCTACTATTTCTCTGTACGTCTTAATGCTTTTCCTTCTCTGTGATCCTCCATCTCCACTTAGCAGTCTCTCCATCATCTTCCTCTCCTCTTCTTTTTTGATCAGGTCCTGTGACACACTCCTCCTGCGACTCTTCCATTTGGCCAAATCCTGACACACAAATGCACACAACTTACACACTGTGATCCGAACACCAGAATTAACACAAAACACAACAAATGGTGGAATCCGCTTACATCCTGCCAGTGGTCTTCTTCCTCTTTCAGCTTGTTGTACTGGTTGTGCATGAGCTCGTGTCGAACTTGACTATGTGGTGACAAGTCTTCCTCGCTTCTCATGTCAATCATGCTCACGCTCCTGTTACACAGAGATTACAACTCATTCAATTAATTGTCATTTAAACAATTAAGGAAAGACAATATTAGTCAAATTAAACAGTAGGTGCAGTCTTTATTAAGTAACCACTTAAAAAGCACGACCAGTGAGTCAAAGTGAGCATTTACAGTGTAATTAGGTTGAATTTGCTGCCCATAAGCCATGCATCCAAAGACAGAAGGCCAGAACGGAGAACATATAGAGAAAGACATTTAGAAACAACCACCAAATTTTTATTATTATTATAGATATTGTAAATCGTTTCGATTATATAAGAAGCATGCTTGTGTTAATTAATGTACTGTAGTATATTTAAGAACAACTTGATACCTCAAGTGCAGTTATTTTAAAAAACATAAGCAACAAAGGGACAAAAAGGTTTTAAAGTGTGTCTTTAATTTGTGGTGTAAAGGGTTACGTTGTGATAGCATCCCACTCGATAAGCAATACAGCCACATTACAGTGAAATTCCTCAATATTGTAAGTGCTGAATGCACATGCAGACATTAGACGCTGTGTGTGGAAAAAGGGCATTCCATTAGAGGGTTTTTCACAAAGCAAAAGAGACTTACTCTGGATCATCAAACACACTAGATGAACGGCTGAATCTACAACAGGCGAGACAAAAGAGCACAAACACAGTGATTTATGAGGGAACTAATGACCGAAATATTTATTCAAGCTTAGATGTTGAAGAAATTGTGAAGAAAAAAAATTCAATGTCATTTTCTGCAAATCTGACTTTTCCCACCGAATTTGGAGTTTACAGTTGTAGTAATGGCTTTATATATACACCTTTTTTTCTCAGAATGGGCCAAATCAAAGGTTTCTGTGGGCCAACTTTGGCCTGTGAGCCCTAGTTTGGGAATTTCCGCTCTAATGAAAGTTTAGTTTCTTGCACTGACAGATAATTTCATTGATCTTTCCTTAATTTTCATAAACTCATTCTTTAAAAAAGTTACCTACATCACATATAGCCTATTCCTAAACTAAGTACCCTGAAACTTAAATTTAACAAGATTTAATTACTTAAAAATGACTTTTATTTATCTTGTGTGTTCGAATTTCTCACATGCTTTCTTCAAAAGTTGAAAGTTGTACAGTTATATAGGACAGATAATATAATCAGGAAACTTCCTGTCTGCTTACTCTTACCACCATGTTATACTGTTGAAGATGGAAGATGTGATCTTTTAAGACATCTATTGGATACCATAACACCATGTGTTTGACAGATGCCAAAAGATAAAGATAAAGATAAAGGGATCCTACTTCATAAGAAGATCCAAAGAAATGATAAAGATCATGCTGTTGGAATACAAGCTAAACATTTGTTCAAACTTCTGGGGTCAGTAAGTAAGCTTTTGTCATACAGTACAGTAAAACACTTTTATTTGGAAAGTATGCATTGTTTTAAACAAGCATGTAATACAAAATGTGGCCATACTTTATTATAATGTAGAGTTCACTTTTAACAAACCATTAATAAGACTTTTAGCTCACTGAATGACTAATTAGCTGCCTATTAATAGTTAATAAGGTAGTAGTTGGGGTTAGATGTAGGGTAGGATTAGGAATGTAGAATAAGTTTGTACTGGGTGACGTAGGAGCGCAATAGGTAGTGCTGTCGCCTCACAGCAGAAAAGTCACTGGTTCGACCCTCGGCTGGTTCAGTTGGCGTTTCTGTGTGGAGTTTGCATGTTCTCCCTGCGTTTGCGTGGGTTTCCTCTGGGTGCTCTGGTTCCCCCACAGTCCAAAGACATGCGGTACGTGTGAATTGGGTAGGCTAAATTGTCCGTAGTGTATGAGTGTGAATGAGTGTTTATGGATGTTGCCCAGAGATGGGTTGCGGCTGGAAGGGTATCCGCTGCATAAAACATATGCAGGATAAGTTGGCAGTTCATTCCGCTGTGGCGACCCTAGATTAATAAAGGGACTAAGCCGAAAAGAAAATGAATGAATGGATGAATGAATAAGTTTGTACCTTATAAGTGCTTATAAACATGTAATATCTTAATAATAGGCAAGTAATAAGCCAGTAGTAAATGATGTGGATTGTTACTCAAACTAATGTGTTACCCACAGTTTGACCAAAGCCTGTTAAAGAAGATTCTTAGACAGTTTTAATTAACCTTTGATGTTATGCCTACTACAGTATATGGATGATTAAATTAATGCATCCAAAAATACATAAACATATTTTTCATTTTGTCCTCTGATTTAATTCAAGTTATTGGTTTGTGGTCCTTTTAAACATATCCAATTGTTTTTGTGCTTTTGCATGCATTAACTAATGCAACAAAGGTTAACACCAAATGCCATTCTATTAAGGTCATTTTTGACCGAAGAAAGCCCAGAGGTTTAGGAAACCAACAAACTCTTCAGTTTAATATGAGTTAAAATGTATGTTCTTATATGAGTTTATATGATTGTGGCAGAATAAGGTGCCTACTCACGCTACACATTTTTGCAACTTTCATAGCATACTCCACATGAATCCAGTTGGCATCCATGTTGAAGGATAACATAAATCGTCACCTTGGAAATCTCTATCTGGTTCTAAGGTTCTATCTGCATTCTGAATGATTTTGAGATATTGAGCTTTAAAGTTTTGGCATTCCAAATAGCAAAACAATACCAGTTCTATAAATACTCTTAATGTAAATTATCAAAATGGTATTACATTTGAAAAAGGGGGAAAAAACAGGGCAAATGCAGACAAAACCTTTTAATTATATTTCATGTTTAAGGATAAATATTTTTTTTCTTGTTCAAATTAAGCAAACAAGGCTGTGTTGAATATGTTATAAATAAGTGCAGCTGTTAATTTTATGTTATTAATATGGTAATGTTTATTGAATTTTACGCTTTATATGAACTTCATATATCGAATTATGTAGCATAAATTAAGTATTTGCCCTTCAAGGCTTTAAATCGAATTTAAAGACTTTAAAAGAGACAATGAGCAAATGAGTTTAATTAACACTGAAACATGTTTCACTGACTATAAATACACAAATAAAAATATTTCACATTTAATATATACATTTTTGATAACTGTTTCTTTTTCAACAATGTCAAATTTAACATATAATCTCAATGTCAAAAAATGCTTCTTAATCATCACATTTCCACACACATCTTTTTAGTTTCAGGTTTCTTTTCAATTTTGTGTAGTGTGAAATTATTTAGTCGACTTTAGTGATTTTAGTTGACTTTAGAGATTTTGTGTTCCTTTTTAATTTTTCCCACTGTAAGTGGAGCAATCCAGCGAAATGACAAGGAAAGCTGATCCTGATTGGTTCTTGCTCATGCATTCAAAATGCTGATTGGCTCAAAAAAAAGAACCTTATAGAGCCAGGCTAGTTTGACTTTGTAAATAAAACCTTTTTTTGTTTTTTTTAAATAAAAAGTCTTAAAATGTAAACAACTTTTACAAAAACATCACATAATGTAAATAAGTTGTTATTTCATGAGAATATGTGAATAACTCAATTTTGACAAAAATGTCAGCTAGAACCTTATAATTCTAAGGTGACGAAATATAAAATACACATTCAAAGAAAGAAGAGGACATCAAATAATACTTAAAATTTCATTGTTCATCTACTGTACCTCCTTTTAAATAGAAATACGTGTCTCACACTTTTGTGAAACCTAAAATATGTTGCTCTGGGTATGTTTCGTTGCACATTTCAGACGACAAAACCACTAGAGGGTGCTGTTTACATTTACTGTTTACATTATATACAAATTTAAAACACATTACTTATGGTTCATTTTGCATGTTTCAAATACACATTCTTCTTGTACATGACCACAAAATAGCAGGCCTTGTCATACAAATCAGCTAGACCAGCCAATATTGTTTCAAAAGCACAACACTGTACAAGTGAGCTACCGAGCAAACTGACCATACCAGAATAGGTGAGGCAAATATTTTCAGTTACAAATCGTATTTATTTGGTGGTGTGCAAAGAACTGCATGAAAATGATCCTTTATTCATGTATAATATATACCTGAAAATACCATTAAAGTGAAAATGAACAAAAGTTGTTGGCATCATACTGCACTAGTGATCTTTTTACCCAAAAACTGCAGTCAAATGTATGTTTAAGTAGGTTTTGGCAGTTACACAAAAATGTAGGCTGAAGCCCTTATTTCCAATAAAACGGTGTTGAATCTACCACTTATCATAAAGTCATAAAGAGTCTTAAAGAAGAGGAGAAAGAACAACAAAAAGGTGAATCATCAAAGAGAAAGCCAGCCAACACTCTCAAACCTCATCAGGACTGATGGGCTCAGCTTTTAAAGCACTGAGCTTTGTGTCAGCGAAAGTGTGGCCTGCGGTCTCACCACAAGAAACACACAGACACCAAAAATACAGGCCACCCAAACAACAAGCCAATTATAAAGCCCAAAGTATTCCGTATAAATGTAAATATGAGTCGGGTTTGCTGCAAATCCGTCCAGCAGAAGAGACCAAAGGAAACATAACTAGATCTGAGAGACTCCACAGAAAAACAAAACAAGAGCTTAAGTTGGACGCAACTCTGTTTATCGAGGGATCATGGTGGAGATAAGCCTCGAGTCTTTATTGTATTATTGTATACCTTTGAAGCGAAAATGCTTCAGTGTATTCTTTCTAGACTCTCTATTAAGCCAGATATCTACAAACACAAATTTTGTAAAAATTGTCAGCCTACGGCACTTGAAAATATTGTTAAAGTTAAATGAAGAATTATTAAAGTTATTCACATGGTTTTTAACATTAAAAACAATAAACATGTGTACTAATGCATTGCGGCTAACTCGCCTTCATCAGGGTTTCAATATACAGACACATATATCAAAGCAACCCACAGAGCATACAGCAATGAAACAGCACTATTGCAGATCAAACAAACACTATCTCTTCTTACTGTCTACCTTATCTATTCACTGACTGGAAAGCTCTCTCTCTCTCGCTCTCTTTCAGTCAAGCTGTAGTATTATTGCATAGATGTATGCCTTTTTAGGACAGAAGAACACTTTTATTTAATCTTAACTGGAAATGAAGTCATATTTAAAAAGGTAAAAGTTGATACAGTGAGTGTTTTGAAATAAGAATGAAATAATTAATGGATTGTATTAAGGTTTGTATAATCATTTAAGAATTTTGAAGGAGTTATGTCCAAAGTATACTGTAAAAAGCGATAAGTTAACTTTACTAAAACAATGAGTAAATTAACTAAATGAGCCAAATTAATTCAATTCAAGTTTATTTCTATAGCGCTTTTACAATGTAGATTGTGTCAAAGCAGCTTAACATAAAAATTCTAGTAAATTGAAACTGTGTCAGTCCAGTTTTCAGAGTTCAGTTTAGTTCAGCTCAGTGTGGTTTCATTTCAATGCAAAGTCCAAACACTGAAGAGCAAATCTTCAACAATTGACGAAAGTGAAAATTAACTCAACTAAACAGTTAGAATGAGTTTACTCACTTTTTAAAGTAAAGTAAAGTAAATAATTGATTTTTACAGTGTTGTAATACTTTTATTCATTTTTATGTAAAACTATTACAGCTATTTTGAATATAATGAAATGTCTACAAAATAATGGAACCCAAACTAAAAAGTAAACTTTAAAAAAAATTATTGCTGTCTTAATATTTTAGGTTGAATCAGGTTAACT